TAAATACAACAACAGAACTTGCCTTGGATAAATACTTATGGAGGAAAGGAAAGTATCAACCGCATAGCACAGGAGGCACTCAGACACATCTATCAGTGTCCCAAACATAGAGAACTCACCTGGACTCCTAACAGCCAGACAGTGCTGCTAAATAAAAGAGAATCCACCCCATCCTGAAAACAGGAAAGTAAACGTCCTACTCAGCCAGCCATATGGGCTTGTTGCCATGCTTCAGGAAAAATTAGGTGCTTATCTTAGAGGGAGAGGACCCTAGTCCATAATCCACTTACGGCCGTGAATGAGATAGATCATATCCTCCTAAAGAGGACTGCTTAACAACACAGGTACTGAACCCCAGTTCCAGAGGTTCTTCATTTAAATACAGTTGGGGAATGATGGGCCTCCCTCCCTTCCCTCCTCTTTAAACTATGCTAAATGGTTTGGCCTTTTAAGAGGGTAGTTTACTTCTATATTGTCCATGATATCCAATTTTAATTGTTTTCAATTCTTATTACTAACTTCCAAGCATCCAAAAATCACAGCAGGAGGGCATTTCCCCATGAAATAATTATTAGTAGTCATAATTACATATAGGCTTGTAAAAAAATTCCAAATGGAATGTGTTTTCATATAAGTTGTATTTTACTAAATAGCTAGATCCCCCAAAACTGGTTTGAGAACTCTGTAAATGATGTCTTGAATGAAAAGGGATTGCTTAGAACAATAAGGTACATGGGTGTTGCTTCCTGTGAGAAATTAGGGTTAATCCTGAAATTAATCCCTCAAGTAGCAACTAGCAATGCTGAAAGCAAAGCCTGAAAGGTCATGAACACGCATGATGCCGAATGCGGTAGAAAAGCCAGGCCACGAAGTAGACAGACTTTCGCTCTGGAAGCCAGATGAACCAACTGTGCCAGGAACCTGCCTCTGGGCTCGTCAGCTGTGTCACTCTGGGAGGGTCCCTTCACCCTCTGAGCCCTCCCATGGCTCTTCTGTAAAAAGGAGAAAACCAGGCTTTCGCATTGCCTGAGCAGGGCTATGAAGTGCCTCACCCGGGAGAGAGCACATGACAGAGACTCGATGAAGGGTGGTTGTTAGATGTCCCGTGGTGAGTGTGAGAATAATGTCCCACCGGCTTGGAGGCAGACACGAGTGTTCTGGAACACGGCAGTTCTAGAATGGGCCGTGAAGGCAGGGAAGGAAAGACCAGGCAGGGAAGAACAAGTTGGGGAAGGAGGCACGAACTCCAACTCCAGAGCCAAGCTGAGAATGCCCGCAGAGCCCTGGCACACATGAGCCAACACTGAGCCAAATGGCCCACAGACTTCAGAGTGAGCTTTTGCTGCAACAAAAAACTCTGGATCATTTCGTGAGTCTCCCGTGAGGCGTCAATATGCTGCAGTACCTTCCCAGCTCTGCTACCGAGAGGCTTCATCCCAGATAAAGTATGAACATGCTCAAGCCGGCCAGCAGCTGGAAAAAACAGAGTCAATCAAACTGACCTTGAGAAACACAAGAAGGTGGTATTTAACAACGTGCCAGAGTAAGTCCCGGCGCAGAGATGGGGTAAGGAAGGGCCTGAAGGAAGCCAGCCCAGCACGCGCCGACGGTGGGGTAGTGAGGGCAGCTCAACGCGGATCACAAAGGCAGGTTCACACACTTGACACTACGGTGATGGTGCAACGACTCGAAATGGCTTTTGGGACCACATTTGAGCTTCCGTAATCATAATCTAGGGGGATGAGGAAATGGTATAACGGTGCTCACAGGGAACAAGGGAACAGATGAGATATGATAAAGAGATTAGTCTACTACCTACAAAATTTGATTTAAATGTCTGAAACGCCATGCGAGTGTTAGTTTTGTTTTTGTTTCCATTTCCTTAACTCATGCGTCTGGCAGTGAATACTCTGGAGTAACTCTTCCTCCGAGAGCACTGCTGGCCAGATGACGTCAAGTGACTGACACCACAGAATGAAAGCAGGCGAGGATGCATGTGTCATCTCAACGCGACTCCCAGAGACCCAAGTACGGCTTCAAATGCAAGAAAGAGAAACTAAATGGTGTGTCTTTATGCTCCTACCACTGAACCTTCTTTGTCGGAGGTGAAGAAACAGAGAAACAAAACAGATGGAAAGGTTTGCTGAGGCCCCACAGGTAAACAGGGAACACCCAGGGCCTCCTGCCTCTCTGCCTCAAACAACGGTTATAACGGGTTTAACACAGATGTACCTGTGCTTATATATAAAGAAGAAAGAAGACAATTTTTAAAATGCATAAACATTTATGCTTTAGTATTACCTTCCAAGACTGCCTTAAATATTCATATCATTGTACAACATGGTTCTTAGGATATCACTAGGGCCACTGAATTCCATTTTTCCCAATTTAAGTATAACATTATATGGGCAAAATGTTACAGGTGTGACAATGTTGCTACATAACTCTCTTGTCTTCCACGTTGACAGTGGGGATAGAAACCGCTACAATCCCCCTAGATGACAACTGGGAAGCTGCTAATAAAACTGTAAATACAAACACGCTTTAAATCAATGGGTCCACTGCTAAGACTCTGCCCTGTGTCACTCATGAAAGCATATTTGAAGGATGCTCACCGCAGCAAAGTTTATACCCAATATGGGGTGGAAATATGGAGACTGAACTTTAAGAAAGCATCATTTGGAACAGCAAAACAATGCCAACAACCTAAAGGTCCACTGAAAGGGAAACTGCTCAGATAAGTTGGAGCATAAGCACATGACGGAGATTATACAGCAGCCAAAAACGAGGTGGACCTATATGACTGATTAGAAAAGATCTCCAAACGGTATTAAGTGGAAAAAAAATCAAAGTATGTAACAACATGTGTATGTCTGCTAGGAGATAAAAGAAATGGTTAATAATATTTACCTTCCAAGAGAAGTACTGGGAGGAACTTTTGCTTTTTATTTTCTACCTTCACGGGCCTGTGTGAAGATTCAGACCCTATGTTACCATCTGTTCCCCTTGTACATCTCTGAAGGTGATTACTACATCACCTAACACAGGTGATTAAACTTAAGCCTTAAAGAGATACTAATACCAGCAGAAGAAAATAGGCCCCATATTTTTTTTTTAATTTAACTGAAAATAAAAAACCCAGAGAACTCAAGACAAGGGCTCATTTGAAATATATACTGAATTTGAAATATTTCATTTGAAATATACTATAAAAAAGCAGAACAAATCTTCCTTTTCTTAACTTTGATCACTTTTTAGCTTAGAACACCAGACATTCTCCTAAAGGAATCATGGTCTGTTTCTTCTAATGGCAAGAAATCTTCCATAGTGTTCAGAAAACGAAGACATCTTTAATTAAAAAAAAAAAAAAAAAAAAAAAAAAAAGGAGGGGGTGTGCCTGGGTGGCATGTCTGACTCTTGGTTTTGGCGTAGATTGTGATCTCGGGATCCTGAGATGGAGCCCCCCCGTTGGGTTCTGCATTCAGTGTGAGGCTTTAGATTCTCTCTGACCCTTGCTCTACCTGTCCTGCTCCTGCTCTCTCTCTCTCTCTCTTTCAAATAAATAAATAAATAAATCTTTTTTTTAAAAGGTAAGAAAACAAAGACAGCCTTGGGAAGGATTGTCAGACATCCTCTATGCTCTGCTCCCAGCCACTGGAGGGTCTCCTCCTCCATATCTCCCTCTTCCTCCCAGGCTCGTGCACACAGCCCATTCCCTCTGCCCAGTCTGACCTTCTCCATCCTCCCCCAGGTCTTTCCTGAGATCTTAGCTCAGTCGCTTCCTTCTCAGAGACTCCAAATGTCCCCCAGCTCCAGGCCTTATCACCACTTTTGGAGTACTAGGTACTAGGTACTTCCTAGTACCTAGTAACACCATTCCAAGTTCACATTGATGTTTCTGTGTCTTTGGTTAAACCTGATTTCCGCTCTGGGCTGAAAGCTGTACAGAGACAGTATATCCCCCAGTACCTATGACAGGGTTCACATCGTAAACATGTGAATAAATGACAAGCAAATAAATGAACATGGTCTATACTTCACGCCAAAGCCCAGCAACCATTCTACAAAAGTGACTGACCCGGGCCACTCTCTAGATTAGACCCCCTGCTGTCTCCTTCCTCACTGGGTCTGAGGCCATAGGGACACCCCCACAGCACCTCTGTCACCTCCACCTCTGCCATCTGGCTCTAGCCACACTGGCTTCCGTGCTGATCCTGAATCCTCCAGGCACACTCCTACTTCTGTACCTCAGCAAATGCTGTTCCTACTGCTTAGAAACCATGTCCCCGGACACTGGCGTAGCTTGCTACTTTACTTCAGCCAAGTCTCATATGAAATGCCACCACTTTAGAGGGTTCTCTGCTAAGTACCCCAAGTAAAATAGCCCACATTGTAACTGTTCATCCCTCTCTCTGCTTTACCGCACTTCACTGCATTTATAACAACCCAGCAGTACGTTAAATAATCCCTTACAGTCCATTTCTCCATACGTAGGAAGTAAAGCCCAAGGGAGGGCAGGGATTTTGTTCTGATACTATGTCCTCAGCCTCAAGAGGACCTCAGGCCCTCAATAAATGTTTGTGCACAGACTTACCAGCACCAACATCCACACAGAGAGAGAGAAGTGAAAAGTAAAAAACAGAGATGGTGTTAAAGCCCACTGCTTCCTAATCCTAAAAACCATAAGCATAACAAACTCTTAGCTGCATGCATGGGCATTAACCACATTTTATTTTCTTAATAAATGAGCTGAATGAGTAAACATTCTCAAGCCTCTGACTAATAAAGCAGTGACATTGACAATGAACCATAAACAATGTGTGGATAACAGGCCTGCTGGTCCTTTCATTCATAAAATAAACAAAATGAGTATGACTTTAAAAATAAAGAAAACGTTATTCCAAGAGCAATAAACTTTATGCACTGCACTAAAACCTCCATGTGTTTATCCCAGCATGTGTATCTGACAATTAAAAAAAAATGGTCAAGGGTTTACTTACCCATTCTCCTAAAATCTGTGACACAGCTTCATTGGCCCTTGTCATATTCCTACAGGCAAGAATCACATGGGCACCATGGAGGGCAAAAGACTTGGCAGTTTCAAACCCTATGGTTTAAAGGAAAGTCAACATTAGAAAACATAATGCAAAACAATGACTCAGCTGAACGGCCTTTACTGAGCACCGCACACACTACCGGAGGGGCTCTCAGCCAGAGGCAATCTGTCCCCTGATAGACAGGTGCAAATGTCTAGAGACATTTTCAGTGGTCACAACTGGGGACAGGGTGCTACTGGCATCTAGTGTGTAAGGGTCAGGCGTGCAAAAAATACCTTACAAAGCACAAGACAATCCCCACAACAAAAAAGAATCATCTGGCAATAAATATCAACACTGTTGAGGTTGAGAAAACCTAGCCCAGGAACACACCATCCCCAATGGTGTAGGAAAAACCACAGAAGAGCCCACAGCACAGTCTGCCATATATAACCACTACCTGATGAGTAGATCTGTGTTAAATATAAAGACTAAGTGGGGGGGCGCCTGGGTGGCTCAGGGGGTAAGCTTCTGCCTTCCGCTCAGGTCATGATCTCAGGGTCCTGGGATCGAGCCCCGCATCGGGCTCTCTGCTCAGCAGGGAGCCTGCTTCCCCCCCTCTCTCTGCCTGCCTCTCTACCTACTTGTGATCTCTGTCAAATAAATAAAATCTTAAAATATATATACATATATATGTATATAATATAAAGACTAAGGACATATAAGGACTCAGATATGGCCACTGCCCTTCAAGAGCTCACAGTCTAATAAGAAAAAACCGGCCTGAAGAGGAAAATAAACATACAACATATTTACTATGCTCTGTGTGATGTGCTCTGTGCCGTGCTACATGTATCCCACAACGGCGGCCACCCTCCCACTGGGAGCAATGAGAAGAGCTGGACAAAACCTACACACATGCACACACACAGCCTTGAAGGCATCAGAGGGACATTATAAGTGAGGATTTGGCGGGCGGGGGTGGGGGGGCTGGAAAAGCAGAAAAGCCAAGAGAGATGAGCCGGCTTTGGCGTCCCCAGTGCAAGTATTCCTCAAAAATAAAGGTGAACAAATTTTTATTTTTTTAATTTTTTTTCAAGATTTTATTTATTTGACAGACAGATCAAAAGTAGGCAGAGAGGCTCAGGTCATGATCTCGGGGTCCTGGGATCGAGCCCCGCATCGGGCTCTCTGCTCAGCAGGGAGCCTGCTTCCTCCTCTCTCTCTGCCTGCCTCTCTGCCTGCTTGTGATCTCTCTCTGTCAAATAAATAAATAAAATCTTTAAAAAAAAAAAAAAAAGAAAGAAAGAAAGAAAAAGAAAAAGTTTAATAATGTTACCTACTGCTAAAGTCTTGGAAAAGCTCATGAGAATAGCATCCCTCATGCTCCTAATTCCACGGCTGATGACCAGTTTAATTAGCTAAATGTAGTAGTGCTGAGCCAATTCTGCAGAGTGCCAAAGTTTGTGCAAAATAATAAAGGCAATGGTTTACTAAATTTAATAACCTGATTCATCTTATAAAAAATTAACTTTATGACAATGTTTAAATTGAACCGGCTTAACTGCATGGAGGTGGCAAGTGCGTTCAGAAGAATATTTAAAGCTAATAATACAAAGAAAATAGAGGACATTCTAAAACAACGGGCAGCACCTGCTTCCCAGCACTTGTTACGTCTGATCCGATCAGGAAGATTAAGTGGCCACCAAGGTTTAATATCTCGATGTCGGGTTTTAAGCTTTGCATAGAAACATTAAAGTACCATAAAAGGGAAAACATATCCCCCCAAAAATATTAAATACCCGCTTTTCTCACACAAGCTTTCATTCTCGAGAATGGCAGTTACAGACTGGTGACCACAGGATAAATCAAACCCACGGCCTGTTTTGTTTAGCTCAAACATTGTTTCCCTCCATCCTTCTCTCCCTTCCTTTCCTTCCTCCCCTCTTCCACTTCCCACCCTCTCTTCCTCCCTTCTTTCCTCATAGGAACTAGTGACCAGCATTAAAAACCCAGATTACCTATCTGAGGGTAGACGTCCAACACCTCTGAAAAAGCATACAAGTGGCCGCACTGGGCCCCCATCCCACTGCCACCACTGGCTAGAGTCAAGGTCTGCGCCCTCCTGTCCACCACAGTCACCACTCACACTGCTGACTTCACCTGCCAGACCACTGCAGGCTCCTGATGCTGAGACACCCATTAAACAGGTGACATTCACACTAGAAACAATGCTCCAGCCTTGCCACAAAACCACCACAATCAGAATTTTCACATCCGGATGGTCCCACCTCAAAAAATGTGTAATGCTGACCTGCTCGAGATTTGACTAAAACCCTGTCGAGCCCCACTTGGTCAAGCATGGATCAGGACACCAGCTACCCCACGGAAGGCCTGGCGGCCGCGCTCTACCCTACAAGGAAACGCAGGGGGACAACTCGGAGACCCACAGGAATTGGGATATATGTGGTACACGTTTTAAGACCCACCTTCTTGGCATTTCCCAAATGCCACTGAGCAGTAGCAGAAACTGTGGGCAGGAGCTATGCTATGACCAGAGGACATAATAAAGGCTGGGTGCACGGCAAGACGAGATCATGGACTGGCGAGAGGCCCGTGTAAAGGAAGAACAGGCAAGCGGACGGGAGACGAACGCCGAGTCCGACAGGCAGAAACCGCGGGACCGTGGCAGGCAGCAGGGAGCAGCTCTGTGAATGACAGGAACTGCTCTCAGTGTTCTAACTCTACAATTACATGGCAGACAGCGACACATATTAAATAGTCACAGTCACTACTAGTCTGTCTATTTAAGATGCCTCTGGTGGTCCTGCAGAAGGTGGCTGAGCTGAAGACACTGCAGCCGTGGGACCAGCCGAGGGAATGGGCGCCCTCTGAGGCCGAACAGCTCAGAGAAAAATGAGAAAATAATTTGGGAAGCAAACCTCTCCAGAGCCTGATGACCGCCTGAGTCTCAGTCTGAGGGGGCACCCCAAGTCTCCCAAGATGCCAGCCTGGCCACACGAGAGGCCAGCCACTGGTTGGCTGACCCAGGCACTGACTACAAAGGAGGACTGGGTTTGCGTGTGGTGGTGGAGGGGGCAGAGGGAGCAGGTGACCACAGCCGGTGAGACTCACTGGCAGGACGGATAGGTGGGGACAGAGTCACAGATTCCACAGGCACAAAGGACATCGGGGTGGGAACCGAGTCCCAACAAAGCTCCCAATCAAGTAGGAGCTAAGAACAAGGCCAGTTCTTTCCCTGGTGCTAGGAAGGCTCCTTCTGGTTTGAGTTTTTTAATTTTCTCCATATTGTGGATTTACTTGGGCAGTGTCCCCATTTACTGTAAATTATGGTTTTAATTATCATTTTTATTAAGATGCCCAAAGGAGCTGGGGCTTACAACACCCGTAATTTCTAATGGGTTGTTATTATTAATTTATAATTGAGAAACGCTGGAGACAAATGTTACTTGTAACTGCACACAATTAAAAGGCCAGGAAGATGGTGATCCCCACCCCCCAACACACCACTAAAGCAATCTTGAGGAAGGAATCAACAAGTTGTGGAACATTCCAGGACCGGCCAACTCCCCCTGCCTAGAGCTCTACCATCAGGTACAGAACAAGAAGAGAAGCCTATCTTTCATCCTGAGTTAAATTTGGGGAAAATTCAAATTTGGGGACAATCTGCACATTAATAAACCACGGCGTTCAGCATCTGCCACATCCTCCCTCTAAGGACAAGGACCATACTTCCCAAACCCATCTGATTCACCTAAATGAAGTTACGGTGGCTCAGTGTTGACTGTGACACTGACATCAAATGCTCTGAGGGTGTCTCCGGTCAAGTTCGAGGATACACATTGGCCACCACTGCGAGGTCAACGCCACAAGTGCCGGGACCGGATAACCCGCGCCGCTGGTCCTGTGGCTGCCTGACCCGCCTGATCGAGCGCATTTACCTTCCACGCCGTTTCGGTTCTGTAGCTCTGAGTTCCAAAGAGTCAGAAATCATACTCCCTCCATCCTCACTGCAACTGCCAGCTCTTAATAAATTACAAGACCTATCCAGGCCTCTCCAGAGGAAAATAAGTCATAACCAGCCCTGCTTTTAAATGTGTGTCTTATACACAGCTGGCAACAAGTCCCACACAGAGACTCCCAAACACCCCTCACAAGATCAACAGGCCTCATATATAAATATCTACCAAAGAAAGACACCAATTCGAGAGATGGGGATCCAGAGTTAGGGAAGAGCCCATTCACGTGGGCTATCTTCTTGATATATGGCCAGGCGTTTGGGGCGGTACAATGCTGAGGCCGGAACTTTTCTAAAACTAAACAATCAATTCCAAGTGACTACCTGGGATCTCTCAGGAGGCAAGACAGACCCCAGACTGCCTACTTGTGGTGCTGCTGGGCTGGCTAAGGAGGCTCTCATCCGACCTGCCAGGGACAGCGCGTCCGTTCCCGCGTGTTAGCAATCACAGAGAGAAAAGTGCCCAAAGAGATTGCAATTAACATGGCCCTAGGCAGCCCAGTGAAGACAGACTTAGTACGGGCACCTCAACGGAGCCGGGACCGTGCAGGTCAGGGTGCCAGCAAACCAGGCCACCACATGTATTAATGGTGGGGGGAGCAGGAGAGTGGAATACAAAGTGACTCAACATCTTTGGGGGCAACTGGGCTATCTCCATCCAAGTGTACATGGCCATGCCCTTTCACCCAGTTCTTCCCCATCCAGAAACGAGTCCTACAAATACACCTGCCCATGTGAGCCAACACGCGACAGGAGCGTTCAACAAGCATCGCCTGCGATAGCCAAAAAACGGGAACCCATCCAGACGCCCCATCTGTTAAGGGAAGCACATGGCGTATCCAGAGCCAAGGGCCGCACTGTCATCCAGCAGAACCAGGTGACCCGAGATGGAAAGACAAGGAAACATCTCCTGTTCCGTTAGGAAGAAAAAAAGAAATCTAAGCGCAGAACGGCATACACAGGTGATCCCCTCGGTGGCATAAGAAGGGAAGGCGGGTGTGTGTCTACGTATGTGCTAACACTGGCCCCCTG